AATTGGTTGGTTAATATTCTATGTTTTTATTTTTGTAAAATAATGATTGAAGCAATAATATTATAATGGTTGACTGCTTGGAAATGGTAAGAATGGTGACTTAAAAATCCATAAATATCATAAATTTGCAGTTGAGGCTACGAATACGTTTTTGGCTGCGTAACATAATCCACAGCAAGTTGTAATGAATCAAATAAATACTCAATGATCTATTCAAGTTAATCAAAACAGACAATGGTTAGTTCCAATTATTGAAACTATTATACTTTGTGGTCAACACAATTTAGCATTAAGAGGGCGCAAAGATGATGAATTTCTTAACGAAAATGCTAGTCCATCAAATGCGGGTAATTTTAGAGTTTCTAAAATTTAGAATAAGCTCAGGTGACAAAACATTATGAAGTCATTTAAAAACAACTTCATATTTTTCAATATTCATATGCAAAACTATTCAAAATGATTTAATCAATTACATTGGTAAAGAAATACAATGTCAAATAATTAATAAAGTAAGTATGGCTGGTATGTATGATATAATTTTTGATGAACCGTCAGACATTAGCCATGTTGAACAATTAAGTTTAGTATTACGATATTTTTTAAATAATTAAGTGTAAATCCATAAGTGTATTGGAACAGATGGTGTAACAGTAATGGTGTTAGTAATAGAATCATGTGGTGTAGTATCGGTGATGCAAAAGAAATGTTATATTTATTATTAGAAATAATAAATCTTATTTCAATCATGCTTTAAATAATTCTTTGGTTCAGGCTTCAACTATACCATTTATAAGAAACACAATTGGTACTTTAAAATCTATTATTGCTTTTTTCAATACACCTGCTAAAAAACATAAATTATTTATTGATAAAATTAGTCTAAACTTATTGGTTTATGTCAGACAAGATGGGTTGAAATGCATGATGGTATAATACAATTTAAAAAAATACTTCCACAGTTGGTGATAATGCTTACTGAAATAACTGCATGGAAAGAATCTAGTATGACTACATCTAAAGCTAATAGTTTTATTTTATCAATATGTGATACAGATTTTTTTCTTTGCATTGATATGTTTGAGTTATGTATTAGACCCGACATTGCCATTAAGTAAAATTTTATAATCATCCACCATCAATTTAAAATATGCATTTGAATTAGTTCAGTATACTATAACTGTACTACAAAGTAACAGGTCAAATTGTATTTCTGAGTTTACTAAATTATATTTACAAATAAAGCAAATTAGCATCTGAATTAGATATAGATTTAAAATTGCCAAGAATTAATAGAAATCAAACACACAGAGAAAATTATAATTCATAGTGTTGAAAAATATTATCGCATAAGTATATTTATTTTATTGCTGGACACAATAATTGAAGATCTTAAAAGAAGATTTACATTACCAAGTATGGAAGCATACGATTTAAGTTTCGTTATATCAAAGACATTTTTGCATCAAAAAATAGTTGCTGCAGAAGGGATCAATAAATGTCCTGACAATGCTATTGAAGCTTTTTCTTGTTGTGATGTTGATGTTTTTCATAGTATCAAATTTTTATTTTTGAATATTATTTACAATGTCTGTTAGAGCAGCATCTGCTGAAACTTTTCTACTCTTCGAAGAATAAAAACTTGGTTGCTATGTATGATGGATGAAACTCAACTTACAGGTCTTTGTTTATTACATGTGCATAAGAAATTAGATTTGAGTAATTTAACACAGTTAGTTATAGAACGTTTTGCAAATAAGCATAAGAATTTGTTTTATCCATTTTGGTTTATTAGTAAATTAAATATAAATTAGGTCTTGCGTTTCAAGGTCTTTTAAATAACTATTTTTGTATATTATTATACTTCGTTAATGTAATCAGTTTAATCCTTGTTTAAAGTTACCAAACTAATACTCATTTATCCTTGTTATGTGTTTTACTAATATTGTAAAATGTTTTGCACTTTTGCCCCTCCTTAAAATTAAGCTCTAGATCCGCCCCTAATGTCCGACACGATATTATTATAAATTTTGTTATACACGAATTATTATTATTATTATTTTTTTATCCTCTTTGTCGATTATTTAATAAAATTACCAAAACTCCGTCTGTGAACCGACCGTATTTGTAATCTTCTTATTGGCGACTTAAAAAAAATAATAAAACGACTGCAGCGCGTGGACCGAAAAACGATAAGTCAGTTTAAAAACATTCTATTGGTGGTATATTCTGTTTTTTTTTTTGTCTTGGAAACACTAGTATATTATTTATTATAGTGAATAAATCGGTGTATAGTATATTTTATACCGTAAAAAAAAAAAAAAAAATAATAATAATAATATAAATAATTTACTTGAATCGTAGGAGGTATTGACGGTTTTAATTTTTTTTTTTTAAAGCCACCAATATATATTTTGTATTCATTTTCAATTTATTAAATAGATAGACATTTTAAAGAACAAAAAAATTTAAACCCGATTTTTTTGTTTATATACTGTATGGGGTATTTAATATTTATAATATTTATACTTAATTAAATATAACGAATATATTAATTTTTAATAAAAGTACTACCATCTCTTGTCTACAAAGTATTATGTTATTTTCATATCAGAAAATGATTATATATTCATTTTTATGGTTTTTTGTTTCTCAAAGAAACCATTCCATCTAAAAACGCGTCTGAATTTTATATAATATGAAAAAACTCCGCCTTCAGAAAACGTTAATACTTAACTGAAAACAGTTATAATAAAGAAAATACCGTATTTTAAAAATCTAGAACTTCCTATTACACGTGTACACGCTTTCACGTATTCACGTGAAATTGACATTCAAATCTATAAAACCGTAATACTTAAAAATCCGTCTACTCATTTATTCACATTTTTTCACTACGAATTCACGCGAATAACACTTAAACGAATAGTAAATTATCGTGTATTAAGAATACGCGGGTATAAATTGTGCATTTAAGTGTACTCGGATTTCATTTTTACTAATACTAGTTCAAGTTCTCAATCGAGACCTTAGTCTAGACTTTAGTTTTAATAAACACTACGGATTTTGGTTATTTGAATAATATAATGTAGCAGAATAAAAATTAAAAATAAAAAAAAAAAAAAAAAAAAAAGTAAAGGGGGAAGATAGAATAATATGGTGTGGAGGATGAGAGATGAATAGTCAATTATAATAGATACCTATTACACCTATATATGGGTTTATGGTGTGAAATGTTATTGTTACTGCGTAGTATGTATAATACAGATGCACAGTGGTTTGTCTGTCGATGAATATGTGTGTGTGTGTGTCATTATTATACGGTCATCGTTGTGTCATATACATACTAATATAAAGACGTATTATATTTAATATTGACCGGCAGTTACCAACCACACGAGATTATTTACTTTATTAATTTATTTGCAACTACCTGATTTGTTTTACTTAATGTTTTACTACGGGAATATGGAAATAATCACTTACCTCAGTATACTGCTTGAAGTTCGCAAGAAGTTCGATGTTCAAAATGTAAGAAGCAGGTAGAAGGATGCGTGGGTTTCGATGAATTGTTAAAATAAATACAAGTAGGTTTTCTAATTGTTTTGTTACCAGGTCTACTATGTTAATAGATACTTATATGTGACTATACTCAGACGTTGGGTTCGTAATAAGTGACGGCTTGCGGGAGAATCGTTCGCTTAATATAACGAATTGTTAGCCGACGTACTATTGTATAGCCATTATGCTTTAAAGTGCTTACTACAATATAAATGTACAGACAATTGTTTATCTTGAGTGTCGACCACCAACTCGGTTTATTAAGTCGATGCTCGAGTCAATCAGGCCAATCACAATAAATGTATGTATTGGGTTATGTGAATAAAATAATAGAGACGTTTAAATGTATGATAAAAAACAAGATGACGAAATGTACAACTACCAGGTTCAAGCAGATTTAGATTAACCAAATACAGCAGCCAGCTTATGGTATCTACAACTGCTGTACCGGTCTCAAAAAAGAAAAAGGTGGTGAGGTATTTAAGTGAACAAAAAAGAGTGCTCTGGGCGAACCCAGAGAAATGAAGATTCGATAAAAAAGATTTACACCTCTCGCGTCTTATTCAATATGCGGACCCCACCCGGGCGACTCCCATACGATCGCCACAGTGGCTACAGAGGGAGCCAGTGTGTGGACAATTGTGTAATAATTTTATGGCGTACTTTTGTGTCAAAACTGATATTTTTTTTGTGATAGAATTGGTAATTGTACCTACTATGTCATTTTGCTCGTGTATTCCACAAATATTGAATGCTAATGTATAACAATATGTTTTTAAATTATTCACTTATTTGAGCATCATGCTGTGAATCCCATTCTATTACTATTTTATAGGTTAAGCATCACAAAAATACCTTCTTCAATTTAAGATTCTAAGCACAACGAGGGATCTATTGATTTTGCTAAGATGTGTGTTTTTTATTTGTATTTTTTTATTCTGTCTGCAAACAAATTTTCTGTCATAAATCTTGCTCTAGTTAAAAAACAACGAGACCTTTATTGTTGTCTTTTGGATCAAGTTGGCAAAATGTTTGATTCTCCAAGCAATTTTTATAAAAATTGAGAAAAAGACGTAAACAGACAAATTTACGGCGTTACGATTTCATTATTTTAAATTTGTATGAATTATGTTTCTGAAATCATAAACTATTTGCTTCAATTATTATAAGAATTTTTTTATAATAATTGGGGATATTATATTAAGTATTAATAGTTTCGTTATTTTCGGTTTTGGTTATTGTTATAAACCGATTTAAAATTATCGTAGAGAGCTGAAATTTTCAATGCGGAGTATAATTTTCAAAATGGTCTATGAGGACAAAAGTTCAAATACATAAGTTCTGATATCATAACATTATTACATAAGTATAACTGCAAAATAATAATATAATCAAATATCATATACTTTTATAATATTATTATATTATAATAAACCCATATAATAATATGAAATTGCAATTACGGGTTAATTTGCACCGTTTAATTAAACAATATAAATATTGTTGTTATCAATTAAGTTATTTACCTTATTAGTTATTATAATGATGTGATGATATTATTCGACGATGTTTTTGTTAGAAAGTTGAGATTTGAGTACACGCGTTTTCGATTTTATCAAATCCCAGTCCAAGTAACCGCCGATTAACAATCTGGATCCTTCATACGCTTTTCTACCGTGTAGCACTCGGTGGTTGTCAAAGGTCAAAATTTCCCCTGAAATCAACAACAAAAACAACAACAACATTATACTGATACACACAGGTGGGCGATATAACTGGATGAAATTATTCGAATACAACCGAATCCGAATAATATTAATTAGCTTCCGAGGGCGTATGGGTGTAGTGTATAAATGCTATTATATAATTTTGGCGCATAAACTAAAATGGGTATTTATTATATATCTACCTCCTGCGTTCACAAATAAAACTAATTCGCTACGGGGTCAGAACACCTGTTTTGCATACGGTTTAGATCAATTAGCGGTGGAAAATTCGATACACTTCCAAATGTCCGATTTTAATTTTTAAAGTATGTATGGATTTGTTAACGGTTACTATATTGAAAATTAAAGAAGTCGATTTTCAATTTTCAGTTATGGACACCTCCAAAATTATTAAGGACGCCATGCCCACAAGTACTGTCTCCGTCTTAAAAACGCATGCCATACCTGTATTCCGTAAGATAACCACATTACATTTGTATTCATCTCAAAAGTACCGAACTTTAAATCGAAGAATCGACTTCAAAAATAACATACACAGTCAGTTTGTCAACAAATCATCCATGCGTACTTCAAAAACTGAAATCGGACATTAGAAAGCATAAGACTAATATTTGTCACCTCTTCCTGATCTACAACGTCACATTCGTCCATAAAAACGACCGAATAAGTTTTCACCTTAAACTTATTTCAGGCTAGTAGCTTAGTGGAAAATGAAAAGTTCCTATCATTAAGAGATAAAAGCAGATGATCAAATTTTACAAAATCGGAGAAAATTTGGAAAACGCGATCCAAGCCCGACATAAAAACTATAATTTTACGAACCCAAATCTTTTAGGTCAAACCGAAATTTGTTTTTAAAATCAATAAATCTGAACAGTTCTTGAAAAAAAAATATAACCATTCAAGGTATAAGTTAAATGTCAATCGTCACGTATCATTTAGGAAACCATATTAGTATTCTGCGGTTTGATGGCAGAATTTCGTATGGACATTTTACAAAATAATGCTCGAGAAGTAATCTAAAAATAAACTAAAACAATATTCACCGGATTTGTATTATCATTCTTAATATGATGAGTTAAATTTTTATTTATTTAGGTGTTTGATAAGTTTCGATTTTTCGAGTACCTATTCGTTTGGTTTTTGCGACGCTAAAGCGAAACGATTTAAATTATTTTCAAATAAAATTGTGTATTCTTATAATAGTTGTATTGATACCTAACGCGAGTTGATAAAATTGCGTGGTAATTTATGGTACTTTTTATTTGTTATGATAACATACCGGGCTTCATCTTAAATGTACTGAGCACCTTTTTGTCGTACGCTATCTTTACGAATTGTTCGATCGCATCGTACCAAAGGTGAACGTTGTTTATTGACGTGGGAAATTTCGAATCTCTATGAGGTTCACTGAAATTAATTCGTTTGATTTGACCGTGACCGTCTTCGCTATGTAAACAAAATAATATACAATTTTAATTAATAATTCTAGGATAATTATATTAGGTACATATATTATTATTTATTATTGTATAGGCAGGTACACGAAAATTATATTACGGAGGTTTTTAAATTGATTTTTAAAAGTTTCTGTTGAAATTGTTGAGGAGCATAATCAATCATATCACGATGACTTAACGACCAACAGTGAAATATAATTTTGAAACTATATAATATATTATATTGCACTGCAGTTAGAAAATTACTACACTGCAGACAATATACTAACAATGATAACTACGATAAAAAATAATATTAATCAATAATATTATAACTTATAACACAATTATTTTTTACGGCTATAATAATACGAAAAAAAAAAAATGCATTAGTATCTCTATTTATATTGTACAGTAATGAGGGCTTTTATTTTGTTTATCACCAACAAGGTGACAATATTTTAGTTTCTGAGCACAGACAAGAATATTAATATTGTAGGTATTATTGTAACTAGTGCTTTTCTTAGGTTTTCTGTCTGTAAACAATTTTATACTAGAAATCTTGCTTCGATCATCAATTTCAGGAATAATATTATGTAAGAATTTGTTTTATCTAGTTGTTGCATTAATGTAGATATTTTTCATTTTTCCTATAACTTGTTTATTGATTGAGTAAAACTTCAGAAAAAAATGGAATATTTATGAAATAACGGTTTCTGTAATTTGTTTTTTCGTTGTGATTTAGTTGAAAATTATCGAAGAGACATGACATATTTACCGGAAATTTTTATTTAAGCTCTTTTCAGATTTTCAAAACGTTCTGATGATTTTTGAGGTATTTATAGGCTACAGCCATTCAAAATGTTTGGGCGTTTTTTAAATTTGTATTATTTGGTTTTATGTGGATAACATTATTGACTCCACACAAATCTTAAAAACAACTATATTATTCAGCTACAAATTAATACGAATTTAAGTTTATCAAAATATGTTTAACCAAATTTTGCGCAGATTCGGTTTTTCGTTAGCAATGGCAGGTCGATTACTATCTCATTTTCTTTTGTATTTTCATGTATCGTATTAATTTTGATGAAATCGCATTGGCCACGAGAGTCGATCATCCATCGAGTTGGTACGTACATAATAAGAACGGATCTGAAAGGACGAAATTAGATCATAACTTATATAACCAACCAGAGAAGAAGATTAATTTATTTTGTTTTGGGTGTAAAAACAAATCCCGTCTACTATACAAACTTGCAACTTATTTACAACTCTGTGTGTGAAACAAAATAATAAATTATGCGTCAGAAAAGACGTTTATTGACAACGAAGGTATTAATCGAATAATAATAATAAACAATTCCTAATCTATTTTAAAATACGAAATGAGGTTAAATCTATTCCTTTTTAAATTTATACGTGAATGTTCATTTTAAATTCTGAGTGTGATGAAGATGTTCATAGTTTTACTAAGATAGCTTCTTTTATCGGAAAACAATGTTCACATTATTCACATTGTTACTTAAATTATGAGAATATTTCGTCTTTTGGTGCTTTATTTGAAACATTTTCGTCAACATTTGATCTTAAAACGCTTATGAAAAATAAAACTAATGCATTACACTTAAAATTATTTTTTAGGCCACTAGGTACAACTTATAATGTAACTTGCGTTTCTCTTAAGTCATATAATATTAATAACAGGTATTTACTAAATTTAAATACATAAAAAACACAAAAAAAAATATCTAATTAAATACCTATAAATAGCCTAATAATATTCAGAATGTTTTGAAAATTTAATCGCGTCTACAAAACGCCAATTTAAGAATGTATTTTCTGAAAACTACAGATCTCTATAAGGTTAGGTTATTTTTAACCGAATACCTATCAAAAACCCAAATTCCGTACAGTTTACTGTATTTCCTAAATTTTTGCTGGTTTTTCGTATTTTTAGGAAAATTATACGAAAAATCATACGAATTTCTTACTCATAAACAAGAAAACATTTTTTTTAGAAAATATGCTCTTCTTGAAATTTAGACAAATATTTCTGAAAGAAAAAACACAATTTTATATCACGAAATCGTTTTTTTCGTCTTTAGTAGTTTTACCAATTATTATGAAAACTACTTTTGATATCGAAAAACGATTTTCTTTGTCAGTGGTTATATATTAAAAGGAACAAATTTGATTAGGGCAATATTTCTGGTAGAAAACATAATTCGCAAAAATTAAAAAATAATAAAAAATTACCTCTTCAATGCACTAAATAGAAGAATTTCCTTTCAGAAATGGTAATAAACTCTATACATCAGAGCAATAATTCTTTTTGAAAAAAATGTTTAAAGACAGAAGGAAAAAATACACATTACAGTAAAACCAATAGATTTCTCGCTACGCTCTGAATTTAAAAATTAAAACCAAAAACAAATGACGATCCATCGGTACATCGGTTTTATTAGTGTTAATTTCTATATTTTACCTTAGTTACATAGGTTAAAAACGACTTATATAACCTTACTAGTTAACCGTGTTCAGAATCGTTTTTGTGGTAGCAATTATTTATCATTGATTTCAGTGTATAAGCTAAATCAACGAAACGTAATGGTTTTAATAGTCATTTATACACATATACCTACAATTCCACATGATTTTAAAAATAAATTTTTATTTTTAAGTTATAACAAATTTGTAATAATTCGTTTAAACATATTATAAATTATAATCTATAATAACAAGAGCAAATAAATGTAACGGTAATTGAAATTTGCGGAGTTGTGTTACAGCCAACTAAATAGTAGCATATACTCGTACATCCTATACATTCCAATCTTCCACATATCAGCTTTTTTTTTCTCTGCGTAATATATAAACGAACACGGAGTCCTTTAAACACCTTTATTAAACGATAAACACTTCAACAGTTATATCTACGTATTATTAATAAACAGACATATACGAATATAGGAATAAACACAATAAATATTTAAACTACAAAGCAATAACTGAAGAACAAAATATTAATAAATAAAAAAACTAAACACCAAAACTTAACAAAATGTAATCGAAAATATGAGTTATCTGTATGTTAATTAATAAATTAGCCAGAGTTTAATTGATAGGTTTTGCTAGAGAGAAATAATTATGTAGGGATAGAATAAAGATTAAAGATTTATGGTATTGCGGGTAGGTATTAGTTATAATCCGGATTAGGGATAAGAGGTCAGGGAAATTAATTTCACCGGATAGGTACTACTAGAGTTTTTCAATTACGGTATAATCTTTTGCGAGAACATTTGGTTATTCTGATTTTTTTTTTTAAATTATAAGCATTTAAAGACTCAAAAAAGGACAATAATTAAATACTCATCATTAACTATAATTAGTGTTTAAAAATTTCATGAAATGTAAAATTTTGAAATATGTTTTTTTTCACCGTCTTACATTTGTCATTAGTTCATCACTGATTTTATGGGTATACGTATATTATAATGATAATGAACAAAACCTATTAAATTTGTAGTCGCCAATACTAAATACTTGCAAGTTATAATTTAATAATAATCATCATGCGCCGTCGTCGACCGTATGATTACGATAAGCCGCTTTCTGTGAAAAACAATGTTCCTAGCGATAAATAGCATAGATAAATATAAAATATTCCAAAATAAATCCAAATAATAAGGTAATAAAAATGAGATTTGATGTTTCACGTTTTTGTGTAATATTTCACCACATAATGAAATATTTCTGACTCCAAACACTAGCTATACTATACTAATAGTCTTAAAAAGTATACACATATTTTGGTTATATCGAGCCATAAACCCATAATTCATAATATGCATATTTTGTTATAAATCGTTGAATTCTAAATCTAGTTTCTGGAAAAAGAATTTGTATTGCTTATTATTAACCGATAATTGCAAGACTAATTAGTAATTAATGACTCATAAGTCTTAATATCATATGGTTATATTAAACGAAAACAAATAATTTGTGAAAAAATAATATTGTTGTTTAAATTAAAAATAATTACCTAGAATACATGATATTTTATCATGCTTTATTGCTTACTCAACATAGATAACAGTCTTTATGTATTTATGTATTTCGGGCTTAAAAAAAAAAAAAAAAAAATTGAGCTTAATTCAATAATTATTATTTTTATAATCGTTTTATGTTCAAATTTGAATGAAATTATGCGTTTCACTTAATACTTAATCGGTTTCGTATCTCCGTACGTTAAATTTCTGAAAAAAATATTTGAGTTATTCCGTTCGCGCGTGTCCCCCACACGAGTCGAACACTGTATAAATAATATACTATTGATACAATTTAGGATTGACAGTTATTTATGAAGTTTAAATAATAAGAACACTGACCATATAACGGGTGCGAGATGGACGTTGTGAAAGCTGTAACCGCCGTCGTGTCCGCGATCGATCCACCGCACCGGTACGGTCGACAGCGTGTCGTAGTGGTCGGCGTTAATTTTTTTCAGACTCTCGCACACGGATAACCCGTCAGCTACTTCGCTCTCGCCGCCGCTACACTCGGGCTGAATAATGCAGTGCAACAGTATCACCTTGACATCGGACAAACCGAATAATATTATTAATATTAAGTTGCGTACATATCGATCTATGTGATCACTGATGATCCGCATATCAGTATTATCCGAATACTAATAAGTTATTAGAAACTTTGTAAATATTTATTTATTTTTTGATAATAGTTAGGTTTGGATGTATATACACTTAATATAACTGTAATATATATGCATTTATGTACTAAAAAAAATTACCAAATATGCAATTAAAATATGCATTTTAAGTTAAAAGAAATACCAAAATATGCACAAAAAAAAAAATGTATTTTATCTTAAGTATTTAATTTTGATTAGTAGTTTTCTAGTTGTTATTTATATATTAGTAGTTTCACGATCAACGGATCACCATTCATCGGCCCCGACGCGTAAGTCTCTCAAATCAAAAAATAACCGTTAAATTGCCCATATAGCTAATAAAAACATTTTATTTTAGATTCTGAGCGGAGCGAGAAATGTATTTGTTTTACTATAATGTATGATTATTATTATTTTTTTTTATGCCTGTAATCAATTTTTTTTTAGAAATTTTGCTCCTATTAAATAATATCAATAGACAATAGTGCAACAATAAATTGGGACCCTTTGATAAATTTAGGAGGTATTTTTTTTTTTATTATTATCTTCGTAACTATTTCTAATAATTTAGAAAAACCGGAAAAACTTATGAAAACGAGAAAATGTTCTATTTTATTTGAAATTGGGGAGGGAGCTAGAGAGTGATTTGGGCTTCCAAATCATCCACAGTCTCCATAAAATTATTAAAAAATAAGATACATATACATTATTATTCTACCTATAGTCTATCAAAAATGATAATGACCCCGAAATCAGAATGACTTTCTTATACTTAATACTTATTAACTTTTTTTGTGTGACAACGAATAGATGTAACAAAGGTATAATAGTATAATAAAAGTGTGATGTTCTTTTATTTTTTTTCTCATCACTAAAATAGCTCCTCACCTCCACACTAAAATTCAATCAAATCTTCCAATGTGTTTATTATATACATTTATATAATATATTCGAATATTTAATTATGAAAAATTAATATTTGAATAATTAGCACTATACAATGACGTAGATGTAGATAGTTAGATACTTGTTTGATCAAAACAAAAAAAATCGCCCACCTGTGCATATTTATTATAGGTTCGCCAAGCATGGGATAAAATTCTTGCCAAGGGTCCGAATTCCGTCTTCAAGTTTTCCCTTTGTATCGTAAAATAAGCGTGGGTTCTATGAAATGATATTTCTTTAGTCTCTCAATTCCACAAATAACCGTGATAATATATACCTAGTTATTTCCATTTGGTTTGCAAACGAACATCGCAATATTAAAAAGAATTAATTTTCAAATTGGATACACAAAAAAAACTCGGTGAAAAACCTTTAACAAAATACCTCCACTGTTCGGTGTAATAACTTACGACCATCACTATTATAAATGTAAACAAATTTAATAAGAACTACCTGCTCGAATAATTTTTAAATATTATTTTGTAGTTAATAATTTCTATAATGACAAAAACAGCTTACATAATATTGCTAAGGGTATTATATTATTACATTATTATTAGTGCTGATGTTATTAAGGGTATTTATATTTTTAAATTCTAAAATTCATTTTGATTATTATTCGTTTCTTACAAAAAATGAGCAGAAGAATACTACCGTCACTAGAGTCGAATTTTCCTCCACCTATTTTGTAATATATACATATTCATTGTAAAATAATAAATAACTAAATAAAATATAATAGAAATATAATTTGTGTACTTTTACAGTGTGGGATCACAAGAAGGAAATCAGCAGAAATATTACAAATATAATAATGACCTGTTCACAATGATTGTAAATTTTAAACAAGCCCATGACAATGTCAATGGATAACTATGGACAGCGCTGAGGAATTTCCAAATCCTAAAAAAGCTTATCAGAATGACAGAAATATGTAATTAAAACACATATTGTAAAGTACAATAACAACAGGAGTTATCACTATAATTTGAGGTTCAATCTAGATTATAACAAGGTGATGTAATATCTCTAGTAGGTCAGTAGGTCACGAAATGAAGTTGAACGGCAAAAATGTAATATTTGCGTACGTAAATGATATTGTTATATTAGAAGATATGGAAAAATATAGTTAAGATCACAGAGAAATTAATTGCGTCTAGCCACAGAATGAACATTGTTATAAATGATAATAAAACTAAGTACCTTTTAATGAATAGACATGTGGTAAATAAAGCAGCATTAAAAGTGGGCTACTTCTTTGAACAAGTGGATGAGTTTAAATACTTAGGAGTTTTTTTTTTAAACATTTTTTTTATAAGTATGATATAGAGTTGAAATAAACAGTCCCTATATAATTAACAAAGGATTGCCCAAAAGCTTTACGTGTGTATTTTACTGGAATATTATAAAGTCTACATTTCTTTTCACCATCATAATGTTTCCTATTTTCACCTATGATGACATTCTTAATAATGGATATAATTTCAAATGTGTTGTAGAGAAACTTAATCGGAAGAACACACAATTCTTTATAGTTTTGCCTCTTAGATCCTTGTGAGGAAGATTTATTAAAACAGATTCTTACAATGTTATTCTGATTTGTATTCAGTTTGTTTATAAAACTGTCACCTAATCCACCCCAAACAATCAGTCAATATTGAAAAACTGCTTTGTATAACGCAAAATAATTAATAAGCATTATTAATTTAGGTACTAAGACTAAGCCCCTATGGTCAACATGGTTCACAATACAAGAGAACGAAGATAAATGTCTCACCTTCGAAATAAAAGTTTTACAGAAAATTTATGGACCTGCTCCAAAACAAAATGGGGAATATGAGCGGTGTGAAAACGACGATTTAGAAAGGTTATATAACAATCCAAATATTAAATTTTTCCTGAAAGCGAAGAAACTGAAGTGGGGTGTTCATGTATGGTGTGTTGGTGAAAAACTGATACGAAATATCTTGATCAGAAACCTAACGAAAAAGCGAACAAAAGGAAAAATTTGCCAGCAATGGTTAGATTGGGTTAAGATGGATTTTTCATATTTTGTCGAGTCAAAGCGTTTAGATGATGCGATGGACCGAAAGGAATAGAGAAGTTTGTTGGAAGTGTGTAAAAGGCATTTAAAAAAGGTCTGTAGTACTTCATAAAAAAAAAGGATTATAAACTTGATATTATTAAAATAAAGGTAAAATTTAAAGATTAAAATGGTAAGATCAAAGGTTTAAAATTTGAGCTTCCAAAATGCATGTACTTGCAAAAGCGTAGATACTACGCCCACATGTATACAAAATTCTCTCCACCTGATTTCATTTGGGTGGCGTGTAGGTGTGTTCAAAGCTATAAAATATACCCGCTTGCCACAATAACTACGGTAAAATATATATTGAAATTCAATCAAACTTTTATCACTTCAATCCGTCGATAAAATAGCCATAATTCCCGATTTTAGCTCATTTAAGCCCAGAGGGAGCTACTGGAAGTGTTCAGATGACAAAAAATATATTAATATTATAACGGTATCTGAATATAATAAATTATTTAGATTAACAAATAAATTTTAGTTTAAAAGTTACCATACCCCAGGTGCGTATTCGTAGTACGGAAGATCAGTGTGGAGTTGTAAATATGTCGATCTATACGCTAAATTTGTTGCGTCGGAGTTTACTTCCACTTTAAAAGTTTCTCTGAAAAAAAAGGAAAACAAAAAACAAGACATTAATTTTATAGATATAATTAAATTGAGGAGCTGACTACACGGTAATTTTATCGGTACCTAACGAATCGTTAGTTACTATAGTGTATTAAAGTTTATCACGGTAAACTTTCTAATCGCTATAGAAAAATGTTTTATTGCGCGTATCTATATGTACCTATCATATGATTTGTACACACCAAAGATATATTATATACTTACTTACAAGTTCTAAGTACAAGCCCGGATTAAGGGAGGTGGCTTTTAGGTAATTTATTTATTTATTTTTCAAGTGGTTGGAGGGGGCAACCATAATTTTGCTCATAACTATACGTCACTAAATACATAAGTGTACGAGTATGTATAAATGTTTTTCTTCTTTTAACTAATTTTTCAAAAATATACATTTTGTTTTCTCTCTGTTGTACCCATTAATTATACAAATATGTTGTCCCTGTTTTCATTTTTCCGATTTTTTAAAAACTCTGTCAGACCGCAAAGTATCAATACAAAGTTTTATGCATTTTGTGAACATATTATTATGTCATTATTATTTACTTATTATCTACCAAGCATAAGCGGAAATTGAAAAGGGCGAGCTGGTGACCCCACAAAATCAGTTTAAAGCACCATCCCTAAATTTTATATTTTATATAGTAAGCCAATCTTAATAATAATAATAATAATGTATTACAGTGCTATTCTAGCCCCCATTCGCCTCCTTCCACCAAAAAATCCATTAAATCTTCGACTATACGATAATGTGAATAATGGCATTTGATTATACAGATATAGTTGAATTACAACACTATAAGTAACACGTATGAATAATTGTACAATAATAATTTTAACGTGACTTGTACGAATGTATACCTTCCTACGCGATAGAGAGTCTGCTGCAATAAAACGACTACAGACGGTACTAGAATATTATGAATTATTATATTAATACGCTTTATTGCACGATGAAACGCGAACACACCCACGCGAGATCGGTTTATACATCAGCAAACTCCATCAAAGTCGAAATACTGTCCCATATATTATATTCGCGTACATAGTATATTATTGTATTTTGAGCATTTAACCGCGAACGCGTATACGTGGGTCGCGTCACTCGACGAAAACTTCTGTCACCGCACACGTCAATAATATATTATTACTATTATACATGCGCCGCGTTCGATTTCGTCTATAACAATGTTAGGTCCCTATGTATACTTTTAGATTCTGCTCGTATTACAGTGAATCCTGTCTTAGCAGACACTTATGTGCCTGCATGAACATGTCATCTCTTATTGTACGAAATCCCGGCAAAAAGATGGGTACCTATTTCTATGTAATTTAACCTATCTATAACGAACTCTCCCCATAAGGGACGAGGACAGTAATATTTCTCCCGGTCGGCATAGTGACTGACAACCGAAAAATTGTGTACAACTGAAAACAATAACGTTTATTTTTGTGGTTCAAATCCTCAATAAAATAAAATAGACAAATAATAAGATAAAATAAAACGCACTGTTATTCTATTTTAATTAGAAATCGGCGTTCTGCGTTTTTTATTCTGGGTCTATTGGTTTTTCTTTGGAACTGCATCTTTTGTTCTGCGGTAATCGTTCGATTTAAAGCAAAAAGCAGAAATTCAATGAAAAGACATTAGCGACTTGTCTATTTGTAAACTTGCAGAACAAATTGGCATCGGGAAACCGAAAGTAGCTAGATAAATTTGATTATAAAAACACTATAACCTTACTACAATAGACACATTTGTTGGTTCCACTAGTGTTCATTATAGGCAGATTTTACTATACTATTCATCAATTTCAGGGAGTTTTGATCAAAATCTTTTCTCGGAAATCTAGGAAAGTCATTTTTTTGATTTACTTACGTACGTGAAGTTGGCCCTCAACTTTGGCCGATTGCTTCCGGATGAATTGTAAACAATTGTAAATTTAGTTTCCGAATTTGTAAATTATCCCTTTGGCCGTTAAGTCAAAAATAAGTTTGGAGAGTCGAGTTCACGTAGCTCGACCACTTTGACCGTAAGATTCCTGACAAATTGTAAACAATTGTTTATTCATTGTAAGTAATTGTAAATCCAATCCTCGAATTGGTAAATTATTAAAAAGCTTATAAAGAAAAAGCGTTTTTTTGATTTTTCCCTATAGATTTTTTAATAATTGAGTAAAATAGAAAAAACAAATGTGGAAAGAAGGGGAAAATTTACGAAAATAATTATTTTACTATTTTTAATTTTGTTTTTTTGTTATTTTAATTTAGTTAAAAATATTCGCAGTGACTTGAAATTTGAATAGAAAACTTATATTTACATATTCTAGACGCGATGAAAATTTGAATTCTGTGCTAAGGAATGATAATGAATCCTCAATTATAATTGATAAAAACCAAAAGTGCCTCGTAAGTGATATTTGTACATACGATTCATTTTCTATCATAATTTCTAAAAAATGTTTAGATAATAATAAAACATTGATTGATTCTGATCAGCACCAATTTTTAAATTTTTGACAACCTTGGCTATTATTATGAACATTCAAAATTATTATACAAAAGTCATTTAAAAATTCTTCAAATTGTTTAAAGAAAACTGTAGTGTGTCTGGAATCAAAATAATTAACGCTGAGTGTCATGTTAAATATATAGTATCAGAACTTTTAAAAGATTTTCCTTCATGTTATTTTATTTTAATTTTTCATGTTATAACAGAAAGCTGTCCTTGGATAAGGGGGACGGGTGCAGCCACTGTTGTAGCTGGAGAATTGGGAAGGTAAGATATAGATGAGAATTTATATCTGTAAGCAACGATTAGCGATTTCTAAGGAAAAAAAAGTTTTTTGTTCCATTTTAGTAGTTTTATAGTAATATATAAATATATATATATATTATTTATTAATGTATAAAATATTATTATAGGTATACAAATTAATATATTATATTAATAAATATAACGCTTGCATTAGTTACAAACATGTTTGTTTTATTATTTGATTATATTAATTTATAGATATGCATTTCAGATAAATGGTTAATGGTTTTACAGTATGTATTAGGTATTTTTTAAGCAGAAAACAAATAACCTGTTATTCTTATTAATTTAATAAAAACATCTAAAAAAGGCAATTTTACTTGTTCATGGCCCAAATGCCCATCATCTTTTAAATTGTAACGGGCTCGACGTAGGAAAAGGACTTTGAGGAAAAATGTTTGAAATAAATCGAAAAATATCAACAAAATATTAACAATTTAATTTCACACACAAAATTATTCCAAGTCCAAAAACATTTCATAAAACAGAGTGACGCAAAGTTGTTCGCATTTGATCGTGGTGGACTTGTCTGATTAGACGATGTTTCGGGCGACATTATATATGCTCCGAGGGACCCCCGCAACCCGTTATTCATAGTCACTGCTATCTATATTTTATTGCTGCCCCGGATTCTAGCGACGGTCAAAACCAAAATTAAATATGCATATTTATTATATCAATATTAGTATTATAACATGTTCATATTATGTTACGACCTATATTTCGGTGCTGTATACTTTACAAGCCTACTGCATCGGGTAAGTTTTTTGTTTTATGTATGGTAAGTACTACCGTATACGGCTCGCACGCGTCTCTTGCAGAAGGCACGTAACAAAATGTTCAAGTCAAACAAAAACATTGACATCAGTAAATGTTGAAACATTTTGATCAAGAAGAAATAAAAAAACATAAACAATAATATAAATTTTAAAACTAAATATCATTTGTTAGTTATAGTGTGATATCACATAGATGTGATTTAATGGAGACATTACTTATAATAACTGCCTATAGATTGTTCTTAATTTGCAATCTCTAAGATGTTATAATGTAACTACCTATCGATCATTTATTTAAATGTCACTCAACCGGGCATTAGCAATTTCTATAACATCCCATAAACATAACTGGGCTTTAGTTACAAACGTCGCATGTATCTAAAAAAAACATCCTTGCGATGTCCGTGCGACTGAATATGGTACAGTTGCCTGGCACTTCGCTGGTAGATCTATACTGTTTTAAAAAAAAAAAATAGGAATGCACAAACACGGTTTCTTGTTATTTCAAACTCGATAAAAATGTTCGTCCACGGCTTCTAACAAACAGGTATAATATTATAACGCTGCAGGTACTGATAATAACTTTAATAACAAAATTTAAAGCGAACCGTCTACCTCTGTAAAAAAAAAATCCCGGCTACGCGCCCGATGACAATACTAACATAGTATCAAGACGTCATGACGAATATGCGTGTACCGACCGTTCCTTCGTGTTCCTTCGTCGATTTCGTCGTATTGTCTATTATAATATAATAATATGTATACGCAGATAATACGTGTATACAGCTAATAATCTAATAAACAACAATTCGAATTTAATGAACCGGAATAATTGTATTCAAACCATCTAACCGTCGTCGTCGATGGAAGTTTGTGCCGAACACATCGATATGCCAACGTTATTATAAATTATTATTATCATCGTCGAGACCTTTAATTTCTACCCGCTAGCCAGATGTATGCGCGATATTTTTGTATTAATATATATATATGTATATAATATTCTGTATGGTATATGTATCTGGTATTAATATTATAATATGCTCAGCACCACGTCGCTCGAGAAAATCCTGAAGTATATCTATATAGGTACTATAGCAACGTAGGTATACATTATATACGTTAATAATATTATTATGACGTTTCCATTCGTATGTGTAATTCAATTTAACAAAGTATCCACCGTGGTATGCGGTCGCCTTGCCAACGACCGTGTACGAAATTATTATCAATAGATAATATTTTAGATCTCGCGACGAGCGGACAAGATGAGCTACGACAAAGCCGCAGTCGTACTCGGCACCGTATGGCATTATACGTTGCGTCGATGCGAGTGGTTTTATTTCCGTGTTGTACGGTGAACATTGTAATACTTTCAGACTTTTTACAATATGCCCGGGTATATAAGAACACGGTATAGCCGATATTATATATATGATATTTATGATATAGGTGGTTTTTGATTTTTCCGATAGGTTCCCGAAAAGCGACGTACGTTTCCATAGCTAGAGTTCCCCTTCCTCCACGTCTCTTTTGTTTTGTAGACACATTCGTTGTGCAAAAATTAAACAACCGGATACTATACAATTAGGACTGTGAACACAGGGTGCTAAAAAACCCATAAAAAACCAGCTAATAACTTTCATTTAACATATTGCATGTTTCTTTTAGGGGTTTCAACTTTCAACCCCCCGCTCTCAATATTAAATTTCACCGGTTGTTTGGAAGTATAGTAAATAATCGTAGTACCAACCTATGGGATTATAGTATTGTAATACATTTTACTATCGGCTATTTAACGTTTTAAAAATATTATTTTTGTAATACAAAATAGGCAGGGGGAAATTCGACTCTCGTAACAGAATTTTGCTGTTCACAGGTGTTTTTATTTAAGTGACAGGTCTTTTTTTTGGAAGTATAGATGATTTTTTTGAGTTTTTATTTGAATAAATCCACAGTTCTAACCATTATAAGTGTACTATCCTACTTGATACTTCCAAGAAAATGGTGAAAATGGTACATAAAAGTACGAGTTTTTCAGATACTAATGACATTTATAATTGCATACTGACAAACAAAAATGCATTGCTCAATCCCCTTTCATTTAAGGGCGTTCAAAGCTAAAAATCAATCTCCCTTGATGATTCGGTAAAATTCATAATATAATTGAACCCAATTATTACATTTATTATACAGATTACGATATGAAACTGACGCGATAATATGAAATTTCCAATGGAATAAATAAATATATACACAATACTATTAGATACTATCAGATTCTTTATTACCCGCGGCTTTGTCCATTTTACATTTTGGTACAATTTAATATATTCCGTCCTCAAACATTTTGACTTTCACCTCCTAGTTTACCTATTTTAGTGATGAAATTTCCAAAAGCCTTAATGTTATCTAATTTATTCAACAAAATTTCAGAAATCAATATTTCTAACCTATTTATTTTTCTTATATTAATTGTATAATTGCAATTGATAGGCGGACCTGATAGTAAAACGGAGGAATCGATAAATTTCTGTACTTTCATACCGAACATTTTCAATAACTTTTTTTCTACTTTTTGAAAAGATAAAATATTGAATACACACTCATTTTAATGTTATTAGAAATTATTAAAATCGTCTAAAATTCATAACTCGCTCGTTTTATTTATTTCTTTTCCATAACAGTCGTCTGCAGTGCGACATTTTTAGATTTTCATTTATTTTTCCGCATAATTCATGTATACATAATTTGACTAATGTCCATTTATTTGTGTTCGTTATAATATCACATTTTTTTTTCTCTCTCGGTTTTTTTTTTTTTTTTTTTTTTTTTTTTTTTTTTTTTTTTTTTTTTATAGAATTTAATCAACTAACGTGTTATTTATTATGTACCTATAGTATATCTTATCCGAAATATTTTTTTTTGCTGGTTTTATTTTTGTCGACACGGTGACATTTTTCATTATTATCGTTTTGTATTCTGTTATTCTTATTTATCAACTATTCACACGAAATGCATGGTTTTTTGTTGCTTTTCTCCTCATTTCGTCTAAGGTTAAAAGAGGTGGTTATTTATACACTTTTTTGCTTATTGCGTCGAGCGTAATCCACATGTATTCGTACATATCGTGCCATACATAGATACATTTTTACGATGTATCTTAAATATATTATTATATTTTATTATCTCGGGATGAATATCTGCTAGAAAATTGAAAACAAATAAGCCAACGCGTGACAATTTTATTTGTTTTGATCAGTCTATGTACTTACTGGAAATTTATGAACTAAAATAATAGAATATACCTTCTTATCCTCTTTCACAAGTTATAATCGCATTAACTTGTCAATTCCGATACAATATTTCATAACGTAAATTGCTCTATTTGTCAATTTAAGTAAAATCATTACTTAAATAAATTGCATGTTTTCAGAAACTATATTACCATCATTTTATACATATTATAGTTCATAATATAATTCTATATTTCAAGATTTTAATCGTTTCAGATTTAACAATAATATATTATATTATCGTGTGTATCGTATCGCAATCCTATTATATAACAAATAAATTCCTTCTAGCTGTATATATCGCGCAGTGTATGTCTCTGCATAATAATATTTAATTAAGTAATAATATTATTGTCGTCTAGACGGATTTCAGATTTTGATAATACGGTTTATAAAATATATCGTATACTACTGATAACAATATACTCTACTAATATTAAAAACGGAAAAGTCTGTTTGTATGGATGGATTATTAACACTTCTCGTCCAAACTACTGAACGGATTGAGCTGACATTTTGCATAGATGTAGTTTTAGACCAGAAATAACAACATACTAACTATTTTTCTCTATTCCCGAATTAAAACCCTAAAGGCATGTTGACACAGTGTTAATGGTATTTTAGATTCTGAGCGTAGCGAGGAATGTATTAGTTTTACAATGATGTTTTTTTTTATCTGTGAACAATTTTTCTACCAGAAATCTTGCTCCAATATATCAAGTGTAGCACTTTTTATGAAAGGCAATTTTATTTATTTGGTACTTTAAAGAAATCATTTTTTAATTTTCCAAGCGGTTTTCATAATAAATGAGAAAAAACGTAAGAAGTCAAGAAAAATGTCTAACATAATATTATTATTGTTATTATATTATATTATATTATATCATATTATTATTATTATTATTCATTTGAAATTTCAGGTCTTTATGAATATTTTTAACTGCATTACAACAACAACAAAAAAAAAAAAGAATTTAAAATAATGAATCAGTTTTTGTCCGATTATTAAAATAACTATACGGAGAATCAAAAAACGACTTACTTACTTACAAACTAGAAAACATTTTTTGATCGAAAAGATGCTACATTAGAAATTTGGACTAAGATTATAAAATAAAAAATCTAAATAATTTTAAATTTCAAATTTTATCGAAATTAAAAAAAAAACATTTAATTCTATTGTTTGTTTTGTAATGTTTGAGTACATTTTAGATAGGTGTTAAATTTTTTGAAATTGACAAAGCTGTCAAATAATATATTGATGTATCACTTTCTTCAAAAAAAAAAAATCTTTTTTTTTTATCTGGGGTTTAATTTTACCGAGTTTTATTTTTTTTCCAGACGAGTAATGATCTGCCAGTTTAACGGCTATTATATACATGTCAAAAAAGTATTGTTAAACTACAGATAGTATAGAATCTCGTCGATATTCAGTGAAGACAACCAAGGAACTATCTTAACAACGATAAAAACTGTGTTGTTCGTGATTTTATACCAGAACATAAAAAAACAATTTTTCTAAAATAGAATCTATTTAAATACAATACTATTTCGTCACAACAATATTGTCATAATTCTAATGTTATGCTCTCATGTAAATAATTATTTATATTTATAACAGTGTGGTTAAAAGCCTTAGATACGGTCGCTCAGAGGCTAAAATATACCTAAACTTTTTCGTACTATACACTTTATACCAAACAATACTATATCGTAGATGTCATCAACTACTCTGCCCGAAATGGAATCATTTTAATTTTTGATGGTGGAGGAAAGATATTTTTGATCAACACACCAACGAAAAAATAACCGTTCGCAAATTAATCTCAATTTACATTTTCCTCTATTAAACGAATATTTCGTTTTTTTTTTTTTAAGATTAGATTCTAAATGTATGATATTATATCATATATATATAAAGATGATATTTTAAATTGTCTCATGAAGATTAAATTAATACATTTTTTTTTTTTTTTATAAATTAACTCAAAATAATTTTATAAATACATAAATTATACACACAATTTACTCATTTACTATCTGAATATAATAAATATTAATAACACAGATGATTAGTTTTGATTCTTTGTTTAATAATGCATGTAACCTATGAATTAAACATCGATAGTAAACGTACCTTTAATCTATTTTGTGCCTATAACGTAGGTAATAACATAAGTCTTAAACTGAAAACCTACTTCCAGTGGTGGCATGATTTTGGGTCAAGCCGATCCACGACCGCTGGAGATATTAATTACTGTTACAACACGTATTTTTCATATTATGTATAATAGGTAGAGCGTGATATATCATGTGTATACTCAAACTGCATAAAGACTACCCCGGATGAAAACGGAACGTTACAAGGTATTGTACGTTGTCCATAATTGAATTATTTTAATTATCTGTATGCGTGGCGGCGTCGATAGAAGTTGACCGACGGCGAACAATATTATAGAACAAAAACAAATACTCATTCTGTGCATGACATCAGCGCTCCTTTTTTCTCCCAATATTATACTCTATGCACTAAGTCACTAAGGTAGCACTATTGTGTTTGTTTTATATTTACAAATTTACCACAATGAAGTTATATTTTTTAAATTTCTTGAAGAAGCTTTAAGTCTACACGCGATGACGAAAATTGAAATGTATGCGAAATAATAGAAATATTCAACAAGGAAACACAAACCAATACTGAAGACATAATCAAAAGTCAATGTAATTATTATATGAACAAATTAAATAGACTTTAATAAAAAATTACTGAATTGTAACATTTGTAACTAAAATTATTTTCTAAATTTTACTATTTTTCAAAAATAAAAGACTTATTGGTGGGTGACATTTATTGTTATTTTCACTTATTACTAAATTTAGTGCGCGGACCGTTCGTGCGTACTAATTGCACGAGAGGTATGAATAGTAGTGATAGGTAGTCAGTGGCGGCGTGATGCTGAATTTTTAGGACAAGTGTCCCATGGGTGGCTAGGAAGAAAAAGTTATGAAGTTATGTTATCTAATTTGTACTCCAAGTATTGACGTATAGTTTATTATATTACCTATGCTGAATATAATGTACTAAGTGTGTACTTTGACGTATAATCATATTTTAAGCATCAAAGAATTATCGATAGTTGATAATAAACCAAGTTATAAATAAAATCAATGGATTTATAGATTCTAATTGCAAATGGGTTTTCGTATCCGTAAATAACTGTTATGACAATTGGGGTGCACTAAAGTCCTTCCAAAATATAAAATTCTAGTTGTATCTAGAGGTGTGGGTGAAGTTTCAAATGTGTTATTTTAATAAAGATTGGTGAGTTGCGGAGGGTGGGTGTATAGATCAAACGAAAATGTTGCTGTCTCATTCATACAAATAGTTTGCACCGCCACTACCCACTCCTCTCGCTTCTCTTTCCCTTTAGAACTTTCTTGCTTCTCCGCATTATTATCACTCACATTTTGTCTTTGTATTGCACCTCCTCCTACCCACCCTATATTTCTCTCTTTGAGCTATTACAAAGGATTATTTATTAATGTATAACTAAAAAATAAATTAAAATTGTTTATTTTTATTTTTCTTTAAGAATTTGATTAGAATTTAGAATTTAAATGTATATAAAAATAAATAATGACATAACGTTCAACTTTTTATTTTATCACTTGCCACAACTTATGATGAACCTTGTTTCAAGTTGTTTAGAATATAAATGAAGCAAAAATATTTTATTTACATCAAACCTAATAAGGTCTGGAACATTTTAAACAGCTACAAATAACTTAACATATCTCAGAGAATTAGGATTAATGGATGCTATAGTATGATAAGATATATGTATTTTAAGTAGATATTTAGTAATCATTTCAGAACTTAACGATTTTAGATTCTGAGTGGAGCGAAAAACCTTATGATTTACAAAGATTTTTTTTTTATTTGTGTACAACTTTTCTACCAGAAGATTTGCTTGGATTTCTACATGTAGGATTTTACCTGAAAGGAAATCAGTGTGGGGATGAATTTTTTGATTTTCACACGAATTTTCTCATCAAATTTGAAAAACTGAAAAAAAACTGAGGAAAAACGGGAAAATATAAGAAATTTAGTTATTAGTTGAAATATATTACGGCCTTCTTTTTTTCTGTGCACAAATTTTCAACCAACAATCTGTGTTAAGCATTATTTAGATAAATTATCTATATAATTATCTAGATAATAAATTAATTATCTTTTATCTTATCTAGATAAAAACAAAATTGGTTATCTGATGAATTATTTTAGATGAATAATTGAGTTAGCTAACGTAATTTATCTAGATAAATAAATATTTATTTCTATCCGAGAAATTCAAAAAATTGAACTTGAAAGTTAAAACCCATGTCTCATTAGTAAATCAACCATGTACAAATAGAGAACAAAATTAAAAATATAAAGTAATGGGTAATAATATTATCCGGGTCGCTTATTTATGTTATTTCTAAATTCGAATAGAAATTGTAGAATCTGATATAAAATGACAAAAAAATTGTAGATTAATTAATAAAATTAAAACAATTTTATCTTTTTTTATCCAGATTAATAGTGTTTTATTTTTTATCTTTATCTAGATAATTTAGATTTTAACTATCTTTTATTTTTTATTTAAACAAATATTTATTTATCTTTGCGCAACACTGCGACATCAATTTCGCTCCAACTTATAATGATTTTATAATGTTTCTAAAAAGAAAATTGACTGGGGAGGTATTCCTGTTTATTCGATGTTTACCTGCATTATTAAAAAAAAATCAAGGGAGAAACGCTCTGAATCTAATGTACTAACTGAACAATATTTGATATATGAAACTACTTTTGAAATTGAAGACTGAAGTAATTTTTCTCATCGAAAGCTTATAGGGAAACATGTTATTAATACAAATACAAGAATACAAATATATAAGCATAAGTATCGGGCCACAGGCCTACAACCTAACTCTGGGAAACGATCCATTGTTTTCTGTGATTAAAGACTTTATGGCTAGGACACTCCTGTTTGCAATAATTATTGTTTTATTAAAAATATATTTTCACTGCTAAATAGGTTATATTACCTTTTTAAACTTTAAAAACGATAATAGAAGAGGGCTGAAACTCTGAAATTGCTGAAATTGCTCTGGTGATGACACTGTATTTATGTATCTTTCCGTAACTGAACATAAACTTTGTATTATAGAAACGAGGAAGCTAGCGAGAAGTGATAAAAAAGAATGGCGATAATATAAAAAAAAGTGTAACCAACCTTACATAATTAATTGAATATCAAAAAGAATAGTTTTGTGTATTCATGTGTTGCCAATCTGATATTTGAAATTTCATACTCGATATTAAACGTTTTCGTTTAAATTGCTTTTGATATTTCGATAAAAATATTTCTTTAATTCCGAATATATTTTACATTCCATATATATATTAAGGGTTGTGAAATACGGGGAAATTATTCATTAAAAGACATTTACCCACCTCTTTCTAGAAAATAAATTTGCAGACGCCCATTATATTGACGTGCGAATAAACGTTTTTACTGTGGAGCGTCGACAAGTACATATCTAACAGATTTGTCCGTTTGTGCTCTAAAATTGTTACAAAAATTAATTTACAAAATATTTCCTTTGGCGTATATTCTAGATTTTTAAGACTATAGTGTTTTAGCATATGATTTTAAATACACGTATTTTATCATGTGTTTTTTATTCAGTTTTTGCTACTTTAAATTCACAACCCTGTTATATTACACCGTTATGAATTTATAATCAATGTTGTGCATAACACTATAGGGTATACAATAGAACCTATTATAATATTGCCCCTAAATGCGTACACCGCTGCCCGGTGTCTAACGACAATGTTGTTTAATTAAATCATTGATTGTATAATCGAAATTTGTATAAAAATCGATCTGGTTATCATTTAGAGTAAACAGTTATATATTATAGTATATACCTACTTTAAAATACCTACTCGTTAAAATTCAAAGATTAAATAACACGTCTATAATAAATTTATTTGATTATCTAAAATTCACTTTTTTTTAGCGATATTTTGTTTTGTTTGTTTTTTTTTTTTAATGAACGTAAATGATTAAATTATTATAAAAAATATCCGCCAACTATTAATTTTGTTTGTTTTTAAATTTATGTAAAATATATATTATATTAATTAATACTTTCCAAACTATAAAATAAAGCGTAAACACATGTCACAAGAAAACATAATTTTCATAATTTATAGAGCACAAAAAACGACTGACTATTTATTTCCAAATATTTTATAAAGCTTTAAATTATAAGCTTGAATTTCATTTATAGCGAATAAAGCCAGTTTAATATATATATAAATATTTATTTAATTATAAACCGTAAAAGAGTTAGTATATTTTATTGTATAGTTACACTTTTGCTGATTAGATATTTGTGGTGAGATGGCCTAACGGCGAACCTTCATATAGATAAAAAATTATATTTTTTTTTAAATTTTCAATTAATTTTTTTACATTGGCACTGCTTGTAGTTTTATACTCGTGATGTACTTTACCAAGAAAAAATAAATATTTAGTGCTCAGATATATAATAATATTATATAATTAGACATTAAAAAAATCTTTATCATTTTAGGTAAGTTTTGAAAATTTTGTTACGATATTTTATCGGATACATTATACATTGAATTAAATTAAATATCACAAAAACAAAGTTGTGTGAGTTTAGAAACACAGAAAATGACATCCGAATAAAAACGTAATAGCCTATTAGAATGTAGAGCTATTATTTATGTAACATAGCCTATATTATATTGGGCAAGTTCGTAGAGGATTAATAAGTCTTATTGTATAGGTATCTGGTATATGTATGCTATATCGCTATATACTTTACCCATATTGTGTCCGTTTCAAGAAGGCGACACGTCCGGCCAGTTCTTTTACTCGGTCATGTCCCAACCCGCAGCCCTTTACTATTGAAATACCGTACACTGTCAACGTTTCCAACCATTGTAGCAAAATGTCGTCACTGAAAAACGAATAATAATTATAACTGCACATGATATTATGTGATTGTACATTTTATATACAATTTATCGAAAATTTAAGATTACAACGGGTTACTGGAGATTCCTATGAATAATCCAAAATCCACAAAACCTTTTATATAAACACGGTCAGTGCTGAAACAGAACCTAATGTTATATGGAAAATGGCGAAAATGAGGCTGGAATATATGCAGTATAGAGTGTATAAAAAAAAATAAATAATTACGGGCGTTTCTTTTATTTCATTTGTATAGGTGTAAACAATATCATTGAATCATATTTCACGAAAAAAAAAAAAAAATATTCAGTTCGTGAGCAGCGATTTTAGGTGAATAATGCAATTTGTATAAGTATTTGATTTTATCGATAGTCTGATTATTTCAAGAAATTATTGTACAATTCATGTTTCCGTAATGAAATATTGATTGTACAAATAAAAACTTTATGCGTTTTATGTTCGACAGATAGATAGATTTATTATGTTTTTGTATATTTACCTTAGCTTCGCAAGTAATAATAACGAACAATTTCCTATACAATTCGATTTGAAATCCCATTATAAATTCCATAGTACACAAAATCAAAGTGTTTACGACAGCATTTATTATTAATATTGTCATTATTACATTTTATTTTATTTTTTAATTAAAAATAACAATACTCAATAATAATAATAAGAAAAAAAAAGTAAGAACATGTAATTTTTTTTGCATTTCTAAAAAAAAAGTCAACAATACAATGATAATGCTTTAGATAAAGTACTATAAAGATAATAATATAATACGAGTACCTGCACCTAACAATAAGAATATTATTTTTATTCATTATACGAATTCAACTGATAATAATATATTATTGATTTTTCTGACCTATAAATAAAATAAAATATTATAATTAATACAATTAATTGCAAATACAGGTTTATTATATTTGATGGGACAGTTTTCGAACGGAATAGGTAGAATCTTTGGGAGAAAAATAAATCAGTAAAACTATAAAAAAAAAAAAACAAAATGAAATGTAATCAATATGAAACAAAACTACTTGGCACAAAAAAACTATAAAAAATACTTATAAGTACTATTGATATAAATATAATATACTGTGTAAAAATTTGAAAAATGCCTAGTTTCACTTCAAGATTATGTATTGTGTTTTTTTTTTTTTACGTTAAAGCTAAAATAAACTATCGCGTTTATTTAAAAACTATTCAAAATGGAACGTAGTTTATTACCTATAGGTAGAGTTTTTATTATATTGTTTTTCAAACTGAACGGAGGTATTATACGATATAATGGATTCTCTAGATTTATTAAATATACTTATATTATAGCAAGCATAATATTATGAAAAAGCACCATCTGTGTCCAATTTTCGATCGATAATACAGTGAGTCACATAAAACTTATTTTCATAGCGATACTCTTGCCCCAAAAAAGAGTTGACGATGAAAAACTCTATCAGATTTATCTTTAAAAAGAGACGTCTTAGGATAATGGAGATGTGTGAAGCCACTATTATAGGTAATTTAATATAGGTATATCTGTAAGTGACGATTAACCATTGCTAACGAAAAAACGATTCTGAGCGCAGTTCAGTTGATAATGATGATTTGTGAACAATATATATGTAATATTATGGTGAAACAATAAAATAGGCATTATATATTTTCTTTAATAATATTTGTTTAATATTGTACCGATTTTCCCGATTTTCTTAAGTTTTTTACTGATTTTTCACATTTGCTGGGTAAACTCTGGGGAAAATCGAAAAATTACTTCCCTAAAATACCTTACCGGTCAGATTTCCTTTCAGAAAAAATGCTATCTTAGTAAATTAGACCAAAATTGCTGGTAGAAAAGTTGTACACAGAAAGAAAAGGTGGGCGAAATATTATAGTACTAAAGTACCTAAATTTCGTACGTTTTCCATTTTTCCGACATTTTATCCCGGTTTTTCATAGTTATTATGAAAATTGCTCAAAAAATCAAAAAATAAGCTCTCTAAATTACCATGGAGATAAAATTTCATTTTAAAAAATAATCTAAACTTGATATATCAGAGCAATATTTCTGGTAGAAAAGTTTGTACAACAAATCGAGGGGTATTTTGCGACTAAAAGGCGCGAGCTTTAGGTACATCCAAATGCTATTTAGGTAAAAGAGGAAAAAAATATTCGACACAATGATTTAATTTTGAAACCCTTAGAATGATAATAGGCATTAATAACCATTAGATCATGAGAAATATGCTTTAAGATGGACAATCTAGAGTTATTTAACATAACATATAATAACCACATAATATTAGAACTTCAAAGAGCTATAATTTCAAAACACAGTTAGTTCGCTTAAATCTGAATACATCATTGTTCTTAAATCGACAATATATAATATATGTTAAAAAAAAAATTTAAAAATTAGATTTGTTCCACATAATTTTTTACTCAACGATTTTCGTCAGAATTTGATATTGAAATTCCCTTATAAAACAAACATACTACATTAAACTTAATTTTTTTTTTATTTGAATATAAAGTAAGACACTTAATAAATTTCCTGTTAAATTTGAATTATTTTTTTCAAGACTCAATTTTACTACAGAGTATTTACCGAATAAATATTACGTAGAAAACTCGCAAAATTGATTTGTCTATAAATAGCTCAAGGATGGCTTAAAGCTTTTGAAAGTTTTACCAGGTCTAGAAAATGAAAATATAAATTTTCTGTCCTAATTTCAAGTTCAAAGAGGCGATACAAATATTTCAAACTGAATTTCAACAAATAACAAAATTGAATAATAATAATAATAACATTATTTTAAAAAACTTATTTTCTTACGTTTTATCCTACTTTTTCTTGACAACATTCCCTTTTAGAAATGGCGCCACACGTATATATCTAAGCAAGATTTTTGGTAGAATTTTTGTACACGGTGTAAAAAATAAGAGTTGATACTAGGGATGGGAGTAGCCACTATTGTAGGTGAGAAGTCTGGAAGGTAGGATACATAAGGTTATTTTATTTATATCTGTGAGCAACGATAAACCATTGCTTGACGAAAGATGATTTCGAAAATTTGAAGAGCCGTATTTTTTTTTCGATTTTCATTTTAATTTGATTTAAAATCCATTATTAAAAAAAAAAGTCATCCGGTCATTTTGGAAATTTTACCATGTTTAGGTAAATCTAATATAAATATTATTACCAAGTTTTAAGTCTCTACGTGTATTTATAACCGAATTACAGAAAATTTAAAATTCTTTAAAAACTCAAAAGTTGTGGCAATGTCACCCAAAGAAAGTAAATCAAAAAGGCAACAAAAAAGTATTTTGTGATTTTTTGAATATATCATTTTTTTTTTGGTAAAAAACGTCATCCGTGTTTTTATAAAATAATGAAATCGTGAAATTGTACGTTTTTTTCCCACTTGTGTTTTTTTTTTTAAAAATGGCGTCGAAAATCAAAAAATCACTTGTTTAAAGTACCATCTCTACAACTTAAGCTTTCCAAAAAATTGCTACACTTATACATCGGAGTAAGTTTAATAGGAAAAAAACGTGTCCATAGACTAGAAGAACGAAAACAAATATTTTTGTGTTGTGACAGTGTTAAAATTTGACCAGGAAAACAAAATGGTTGATTTATAAGTAATGACAAATATAAATTAGAAAATCATGAAACTATAACCTTATAACAAAATATTATTAATCCGATATTAGGTACCTTAAAAGCTATACACGAATACGATAAGGCCGTGGGTATTAAACTATGAATTATACATAATTTTATTATTGTAATAGGTTATTAACATATTATTATAATATCACCTCGCATAATGCCACGGCGCATAATATAAACACGTTATTTATAGGGGTGGGGTACGGGCTATTATACGTCCACGACATATTCTCTCGCTACAATATAAACGACCTAAATAGACAACCCGAATAAATATATATATTTTTAAATGATATGACTATATAATATTATTATATGGTAATGTATTGATGTACGTATGTATAATGTACCTATTGATTACGTCCTCGTATTCAAACGACCGGAACATTGTGGCAAACGATTTGGCAGTCCATTTGACTTGCTGCAGCTGCAGCAGCTGATATCCCTCGCGTTGTCGACCCTCATTAAAACGTCTTTCCAGTAGCCATTGTAAGTCGTAAGTACTCTCGTGGCCGTCGTCCCACTTCACGTAAAGCGTATTCGAATCGCTCGTAATCTGAAAAAGAAAAAGTTAAGTAGGTATAGTATATTATAATACGGGTGTATACATTTCTAAACGTTTTAACATCAGAGGGTAAAAATGTATTATTATGCATATATTGTAACAATAATATTATACAAAATGCACTATCCGCGTATTAAAAACTCAACAACCAACGTTGACCGATAGTTAATTCACATTATTAGGGATACCCACCAATATAATATGAATATATAATAATATAAGAGTCATGTAAAATATTTTAAACCTGAAACGCGCAAGTGAAATTTTATGTCCAAACAAAATTCTCTCGCAGATACGGACAATATACATTTATATATATATATATATATATACCTAAAATAGTTTTAGTCCCGTCTGGTCGTAAATAAATTTATGTTTCATTTTTTTTTCTTTTAAGTCATTTTATTTGCATTTTTAATATTCCCTCGGGTTTGTACTTGTAAAAAGCTATATGACAATATAAGAATACGGCAGACTATGAATAACTAATTGACCGCGATGTTATAAAATAATGTAAAGGTATTCAAGGCATTTCGAAAATATAGTAAGTGACATTGGGGAGAGACACTTTATCTACTATATGTACATAAAATATGTATTTAGTTTTTATTATTTAGTTATAGGTTATGGCGGAAAGCGTAAACAAAAAATTGTTTTCGATTCTTGTTAGGAGATTCGTAAACATAAGTAAAATATTCATATTTACCATAACTCGCAGACCGAGTGTGTCGAAATTGTTATCAATCAATTCATCGGGTAACCTCTCGAGTTTAGTTCCAAACATCAAAAACTGCGTGAATTGGAACCCGGCGTATTTTATTAAGCACATGCTTTTGGACTTGGAATTTATATGTTTGTATAAATTACATGAATTCCAGCATTATATTTATTTTGAGAAGACTCAAGTTGGATTGGCTATCCTATTTGCGTTACCCAGGGCACATCATATGGAGGTTGGTTTAAAAGCTTCCTAAAATATGCACTTTTGTTACTTTATTTCGATGTCTACAATTTTTTATTATGGTTTTTTAAAAAATTTACATAACTATAGTGACTTTGCTTTTTGTCCATGGTTTATCACACTACTACTACTGTCCAGCCATCGTTATCAATAGCATTAAAATAAAATCTTACCGCAGATCTGATACGTTCAAATTACACTGTGGACCTAACTCGTGTTTAGTTTAAGCCAGAGGTTCTCAAAGTATATCGACTCATTGGGGTCGATTCTAACCTGCAAGGGGTCCATGTCAACGAAAAGGAAAATTGGGGGTGCATGATGTGTAAATAGGGATTTACGATAGTTATTAAGTTATCTTCTTATAAAAAAAAAGAAACAGATTGGAAATCACTGGTAGAGGAGATTTAAGGTTAAACCTGATTAATTTGAAGCCAAATATTCCTTTTTATTAAAAATCTAATTTGTATTTTTATGTTATTACGTTTAATTTACATTTTCTGTCGTTTTAATAATTAAACAATTAAATAAATATTGTCATTATTAAAGAAAAAAGTATAAATAAAATAAAATTGAACACGTTTTTTTATTTTAAAATGTTTCACTTCATAGCAAACATTATTCAAGTAAGTAGCTCCGTGTAAGCTGTCAAAAACACGTTGATGAATTTGTAAACATTCAATATTAGGGGTCTATGAAAAACAGAAAAAATTGGCACGGGGTCTACGAGAAAAACAGTTTGGGAATCTCTGGTTTAAGCGATCAAATATCTCGAGACCCGACTCGAGTTTTCCCATTTTATCGACACCGTGAATGATATATATACTCATATTATCTATAGCGGTCAGCCAATATTACTTTTTTCCTACATCCGAAATTTCGCTTTGTTTGTTACTTATTATCGATACTCGAAATTGAATACCGCAATTTGATATTAAATAATTAAGCAACTTATCGGTCAAAAATTGGATATTACCAACGTTTTTTTTTTGAAATTCCAGAAACATTATATAATAGATATTTTTCTCTGAAAATAACTGGTCAAATATCGGTTTATAGAAAGAAAAGAAATCGATATCCGATATTCTAATTTCCTCAATATCGGTTGGTAGATACAATATACGTTACTTGATACTAATATTATTAGGCCTTTGACAGTTTATAGATATTAATTTTTTTTCGTTAAAAATTTAGTGTGCTCAAGTGTGAATTTGTGTGACAGCGGTCGACTCGGAAATTTGAAAAGCCCGTCAGAGGGCGGAGAAATGTTCCTCAACGCCTGTCAACATCAAAAATCGACGTTACCGAATTTAAAATATTTTTTTACTAAAAATTAGAGCGCTTTTAATGTGAATCTGTGCGACAACGATTAACGAGCAAATTTGAAAAAAAGAAATCGTTTAATTTCGTTTGTAATTATTATTTTGTGTTCCGGATTACCGTGGGCGTATAAATTATTCTGTTTGTATTCAAACACTATAATATTAAGTTACCCATAATATTGTAGACTGCAAAATCTTTTTCCGGATATTAAAAACTACATTAATTTTGGAAATTATACTCGGAAAATCGTTATGATATTATTATTTTTAGTGGAAAACTTTATACGCATACGTTATTACTACGTGGTTAATGATTATGCATATATTTATAACGATTACTAAACGCTTAAACCATAGTCGTTTAACACAATTGTCACGTTAAACTTATGTGAGCGATATAGTGTGTTTCATTTAAGTATCTTCACTCGGTGTTTCGAAAAGTATTAACTTTTATCAATATCTTTTTTTTTCTAGAAAACTTAAGAAACAAGCAGCTCTAAATAAAACGTTGCATTACCATTATTTTTGGTTACCCTTATTTTTGGAGATCAAATGACTATATATTTTTGATTTTAAAATGGCAGCTTGTATTAAAATATCCGTTGATAGTTTAAATAAAATTTGGTGTCGACATTTTAGATTTTCGTCGATCCGCTGAAATTATTTTATGATATTATGTTGAAGTTAAATTTGTGTGATGGCACGGCGTTTGAATATTCTACTAAAATATAATGGTAATGTCTTATTTTAGAGGTGCTCGTTTCTTAAACTGTCAAAACAAAAAACAATCAAATATTTTTCGAATAATAAATATTTTGGTATACGGTTGTTGCACTCTTTGGCCGTTAAATGTGATGTTCATCGTGGATCATGGCTGTCTGATATTGAGATGGGAGATTATAGACTCGGTCTTCTGTGGATTTGGTTTAAGTTTCGATTTTCTAATGTACAGTCTTAAGGTCTCAGTATTCTATTATTGTGTAGCGCTTCAAATTCTATAGGTTATGTTAGGTCGGTGATAACAATATTATTATATATAGGTAGGTTTAATTTAATTTATAAGTAATTTATATATGCTCGTATTTAGAGTCCTCGTTATCTATAGTTTGAATCCTAAATAGAGTACCTACCTAAATATACCACTGGGAGCTCTTTATGAGTGTCCCTGAGCATGTTCACTTTTCGTTCATTTTGCAACGTCCCGTTCTATTTTTAACACTGTTTTTCTTTCTGTTAAACTTGTCTATACCATACGCTAATTTTCCCGAAATGTTAAGAAAAATGTTTGTATAATGAGCATACAAATTGCAAGTATGTTTCAGGTAGGTACCTGAAGTATCGGTATTTTTAAGGGCAATTTAATATGTGTACGCAAACAGTCTGCTGTTGTGTAAATGTATATAAAAGAGTCAAGTCAATTAACATTTTAACTACTTAACAATAGTTTTAAAAACGTGCGACTTTAATATTACCTATGTAATAGGCTGTTAAATTGTTTGAAAAAACTTTCCAATTTACGAAACCGTGAATTGTTTTTACAGCAGTATACTTGATGAAGAATACGATGGGCGAGTAGACGTTAAATTTCCCCATGATAAAAATAAAAATATTAAGTTTTATTTTGTATATTTTTCAATTATTAGTTCTATACATAGTGAGTATATTATATTATAACTTAATTCGTATTATTATTTGTATATTTAAATTATTTTAATTTCTTAAAACATAATACACAATATTTGAGACTCTTTCAGTGATAACATAATATTATAATACTATATTATTATTGTGTGTAAAATTATTAACACCAAAAAAACAGTAATAATAACCTACACATTTTTTTTTTTTTTAGAGAGAATACTTTTAAAGTTTATTGTACCAGGTAAAATAATACATTTAAAATTTCATTTCTAGCGTTCATTCAAAAACACCTACATTGCAGTATTATTATTATAATAATTATTTTGTTTTTGTTTACACGTGTAATTTTATTTATTGATAAAAATGTCAAGTTGACTTTTTACAATATTATTGTTACTTACATTTATTGAATATATGTAAATTGGTTAGTCATACTACCCATAGTATGCCTACTATACCTAGTCACCTAATTTATTTTTTTTTTATGGATAAAATAATAAAACAATTATAGATATTTAAATAAACCATTTGGATACATTATCAAAGTAAAATCAAATAATGTGAAAAAAAAAATTATGTGTTAACTAGATACTCCACATAAAGATTTTATGGGATAAAACATCACTGGTTTTATTACATAAAAACTGATTTCAATATTGACCCTATTTATCCAATAATCATCCTTGTTTAAGATATTATAAATAAAAGTGTATTCTATATAATGTGTTGATGCACATTAAACACGATCTAGTGACAGGAGGAGAAATATTGAACATTTTTAATTTTTTTTTTTAACAATTTTGCGAATCATTGGTTTAATAAATTCATATTGGCGTATTATTATTGGCGGAGATCTCGTTAGATATAAAAAAAAGAGATTAGGTCATTGTGTTAAACATATTATTTATCTATTAAATCGGTATGTAAATACTTATAGCAGTTATATTGAACTGAACAATTTTTAGTAAAAACAAATTCAACATATCGATACGTAACCTGGTGGAAAAACGTAATATTTAAAATATCCAAAAGGACAGAAATTTAGGTGGCGATCAACTTACACCAATATATTTTAGATTCTGAGTAGAGCAAGGAATGCAATGTTTTACTATGTTTTTATTTTTAAAACTTTTTTTTACAGTGTACACAAATTCTACTAGAAATCTTGCTCTTTTGAATCAAGAATAGCACCTTTTCTGAAAGGAAATTTTCCTGGAGTGATACTTTAAAGAATTCATTTTTTGAATTTACTATTAGTTTTCCTAATTAATGGGAAAAACCGGAAAAACGTAGGAAAAATGGGAAAATTTACAAAAATAATGCTTTAATTATTTTCAATTTTGGTTTTAAATAAATTATAATTCAGTCAAAAATATACGTAGAGACTTGAAATTTTGACAAATGTTGACAACAATGTTCAACTGTTTAGAGGTACCTAAACGATTATTGAATACTGCATAATATTATTGTAAAATAAAAAGATTTCTCTCGTCTATAGTTTAAAATATTTTGAATAATAACTAAAATAACGAATTGGACCAAAAACTTCAACAAACAAAATTATAGCTTATAATAATATATAATGATGTTTCCGAGTCAGTGATTCTGAAACAATGAGTACGAATAAAACACAGATTATTAGAAATATCGTGACAGAAAAAATAAAGTAATACAGATATTTAATTAATCATTTCAAAAGTTATACAATGTTATAATATTAGTCTACGGGAAAAATAATAAAGGTAAGTATAAATGAATTCTTTATCAAGTATCCAAGCGTAGGTAGATACAGAAAATATATAATATTAAATTATACAAATACAAAAACGGTATTATATTTACTTTAAATGTCGAATTTTGTTAACGTTTTGTATTCTATACTTATAAGTACGCAAAAGTTTTATAATATACGTCGTTTACTTCTGTTAATAATTTTAAAAATATTTTAGAAACAAAGCGCTAAATTTCATGTAATACCTGTAGGTATAAACGTACGAATGCCTTTTGTATTAATTTCACAACTCATATAATAGAAAAGTCATCAAAAGAAATAACAGAAGCAACAACAACAGAAATAATCACTAGGTACCTAAATATAAATAAACAACACTGAATGCAAAATGCGTTAAATGTTTAAACGCGTTTTAAATTAAAATAAATTAAATACTAAACGTCACGAAGGTGCTGTCTGCTGCAGCAGTTGTTGATATGACAAAAAAATTTTTTTTTTTTTCACACTGAATTCTGGTGAAGTGGCGTTTCATTAAATTTCACTTAATGTATACAATAATCGTAATACTATCATAGCTAAATTACGACAGGGCTTCTACCCCTCGAATAGAGATCCGAGTTCGCAAATCAAAAATTATCAAAATTAACTTAATTTTGGGCAGAGCGAAGAAAATTCACAATTCACAATTTTATATTCTGCTTTCTGACTGGTGGTACTTTATTAAAATACTTGTCTTGATTCTGAATATTATTTTTAAATAATTTTTTTAAACTGATTCGAGTGAAATTGGAAACGAGAATAATAGGTAAGGTTGTAAATTTGTAAGAAAATTAATTTTTTTAGCTGATTGTAAAAAGTAGCTTTCTAAGTACATAATTTAAATTATGTAATAAAAAATTAATTTATGAAACTTTTATTTTGCATTTTTTTTGCGTTTTTAATTTTTAAAGTTAATTTTTTGGACTTGTTAAGTGATATTTCTCTTTTTAGATTATTTTCCGGTATTTTTAATCAAATTCCGTCAATAAACATCCTTGCATACATATTTTTTGTTTTACACATGCTATATTTACGTCAAATTTATATTTTATAAAATAATATTTTACATAACTTATATATACGGCCATACGGGTTAGGTAAAGATAAGGATTCGAACAAATAATGCAATATTGCTTAGACTAGTTATTTGTGAGCTTACGATATATCGATATCAGTAATATCAGTAATATCTATCAAAATAAATATAAAAATTTAATTTAAAACTATTTCAAGTGTATTTTTCGTGCATTTTTAAGGTTTTTCACTGCGTTAAATTTACAGTCGTAATAATAGTTATACTCACTTCGAAATCGACCGGAGCCGAGCGAAACCGTAAATCGCGGATCACTTGTTTCCGGAAACCGGACTCGGCGGACGTGCAACCCGGACACTGGCAGTTGTTCCTGAGCCAGACGAACGGATATCGACCGCCACCACCGCCGTCGTCCAGGCGTATTTCGTCCGGACGGCCGTTGGACGATCGGACCACCGTAGCCGACCACCGTTTGCCGCCGTCCATATGTGGTCACGCGACCGGTGACTAGATCAAAAAATATTTGGTTACAATCGATGCGGGTATTATGATATCGGTGAATACGCGGCGAGAACTCGACCGTATACGTATGCCGGGCGAACGGTCCGGACACGACGTCGACGACGGTTTTCCCGTTTCCACGTCACGCGTCTCCGCGGCCACCGGTTTTTCCGCTCAGGACGTGTGCGGACGCGCGTCGCGCGAACTACTGCGGTGGCAGGTGGCGGCGGCGGGGCCCGGACGCGTTCGTAAATGGTCACCGCGTTACGGTAGGGGAGGCCGTCCGGTCCGAGTCGCTCGTACACGACTTGAAATCGGAAAAAAACATTACGAAATATGTGCCGATTCTCCCCACCGCCCGTACGCTCATACACTATATTATGTAACGACATTACATCAACGCGATTGAACTAGAAACGGGATTTGTACGCAATTACAATACGCACGTTTTTATTGAGACTACACGCCGCAGCTCCAACCAGTAGAGTGGCTAAGGGGGCTATGCCTCCCTTATTATGGACTGTGCCAGAAAATTGACTCGACGGATTAGCATTGGTTAGTATAAATAAAAAAGTTAGACATTAATGAATATGATATAATTACTGAATTTACTCAACATTAATCTATACAAGGAGAATACAATTGTCAGAAAGGAGTAAGTATACATATTATATTATATTATACATGGTGTTCCACGAAGATATCTTCGTAAGATATACCCATTGTATTTCCCCCGAATTAAATTTTTATGTTTTAGTAAAAACACTAAAAGAAATAACTTTTTATTTTATTATTTTCGAAAAATCGACTCTATACAAAATCGATACCCGTTTTTGTTATAGAGTTTATTATTTTGAAAATGTTGACATTTCCACTTTTTATTTTCAATAAATTCGTGATTTTTAATGATTTTTAAAATTCAGAGAAAGTTACCAATAATTATGTAGAGGCTGTAAATGCATTTGGTAATTGTTTATTATTGTTATAGCTAATAGACTGTATTTTTTCTGAACTATAAAAAATTATTAAAAATTAAAATGTTAAAAAAAATAAAAAAATGATACATCAAAAGTTTCAGAAAAATGTACACTATAAAATGGCTATCTTCAAATTTTTCAAAAAAAAAAAACAACATTATTTCATTAAATTTTTACCAAAACATTAAAAAAGAATTGAAATATAAGTACTTGTAGTTCTTATCCCTGTGAATAATATTAACAAAAAAGACGTCCTAGGATAATGGCGACGGGTGCAGCCACTGTTATGGATAATTTAATGTATACCTGTAATCAACGATAAACAATTGCTAACGATAAGACGATTCTGATCGGAGTTCAGTTGATAGTGATGCTTTGTAAAAAATATATATGTCATTTTATAGTAAAATAATTAAAATGCTTTTTATATTTTCTTTAATATAATTTAGTTAATATTGTACCGATTTTCCTAATTTTTCTACGTTTTCTGAATTTTTCCATGTTTTATCACGGTATTTCACATTTGCTGGAAAATTCTTAAGAAAATCGAAAAATGGCCTCTTTTAAGCACCTCCTCAGTGAAATTTCTTTTTAGAAACATTACAATTATTACAAGTTTACACCTTTCTTCTAGTAAAAAAGTTGTTAACAGATAAAAAAAAAATAAATAATTAATTAAACATCTTTGTAAAACCATAAGCTTCTTCGCTTCACTCAGAATTTAAAAGAAAATTTGTTTATTTTTATTATCTCAGGAGATGTTACAACAAGTATATCTCCATGGGCTACTCTGTATATAGCCTTAAAATATTATCATATTACACATATTATATTCATATTTTATTATTAATTTACTTTTGTATTATTTTAAAAATTAAAACACATATTGATGAAAACACTGCTATCATTTTTTTTTTTAAGGGAATGGGGTCCACACCTCACCCCTCTTCTTATCTACAAAAATACATTTATACCCCCCACAATTTAAAACTCTAGCTACGTATACCACTGGTGTCAGTTATTGTTGGTTGTGTTTTATTGACGATTCATTTTTTGTTAACGAACTGATAAGATGAAAATACAAAACATATTTTAAGGCTAAATAATAATAATATAATATTTAGGTATAATATTTTAAACAGATATGTTTTATCAAGAGGATGTTGTAGTCACGTATGTTGTCTCCATCTTATAAATGTAACGACATTTATAACGTTATTACGTATATATAATAATATTTATAACGTTTATTAACGTTAGTTTGTACCTAACGACATAGCAAACTAACTGTCAGTAGGGATAACTGTGTATTGTATTTTAGATTCTGTATGGAGCAAAGAAGCTTACGGTTTTACAAAGATGTTTATTTTCAATATTTTTTTCTGTATGCATTTTTTCTGCCAGAAGACTTATTCGGATTTCTACGTGAAGCACCTTTTCTGAAAGGAAATCGGCATGGGGAAGTATTTTAAAGAGATAATTTTTCAATTTTTTTAGGAGTTTTCTCATCAAATTTGAAAAACCGAAAAAAAAAAACGGGAAAATATAAGAAATGTAGGTATTAGTAAAAATATATTACAGGCTTTTTTTTTCTATGCACAACTTTTTTACCAGCAATTTTCCTCCAACTTTTAATGATAGCAATGTTTTTAATAAGAAACATCATTAGGAAGGTACTTTAAAGAGGTCATTTTTTGATTTTCTTAATAGTTTTCCCAGCAAATGTGAAAAACCGGGATAAAACATGGGGAAACCAGGAAAAATGTAGGAAAACTGGTAAAATCGGTACAATATTAACCAAATTATATTAAAGAAAATATATAAAGCCTTTTTAATTATTTTACTATAAAATGATATATATATATATATATTGTTGACAAAGCAGCACTATCAACTGAACCCCGCTGAGAATCGTTTTTTGGTGGTATATCTTTGCTTACAGATATATATTAAATTCTCGTCTATATCCTACCTTCCTAACTTCCCACCTACACCAGTGGCTGCACCCGTCCTCATTATCTTACCTTTCATTTATTTATTTTTTTTTTGTGCTGTTAGTTTCATTATTATCATCGAACTCAATGAAAAGAATATTATCAGTGCAAGTGCAACAAAATAGGTTTTTTTCGATATTTTAATTTGTGAGCGAGATATGAATAATATGAAATATCACAAATAAAAAATGTCTATGTCCTATTATTTTAAACGCATAAAAGTTCTTCAGTGGTAACTAAGTTATAATGTGTTAAATTTTGAATATAACTTTTACAAAGATATGTTTTTTCTCAGTTAAAGCTTTTTGGATTACCTAGTAAAAAATATGCTGCAATTTTTTTCACGCAGTATCTTAAAAAATGCGAAAAATGCGGTCGGAGATTTTGATATTTCCAACAGTACACCCCCTAGGTTATCTTTTGGGATTTAATGATTTTTTTTTGTTACTACGATGTTTGAAGACTACAAGGAAAAAACACTACAATAATAATTCTCCATTCAGAATAATTTCTCACATGCAATGACTTATCGTTGCATACGGTACATAAACAAAATTACCTTATTTCATATTTTACCTTTCGGTGGCATGTGCGGTTTCTGCTCATCACACTTTTCGTATCATTTCTGCCACTTATCATGATCTTTACCTACTGAAATTATGTAAGGTGGACTATCATCCAATTAAATTTTAAAATATAAATTAATGTGTATATTTTAATTTATTAAAATATTGTATTAAGAATACATAAATAGTCAACTTATTTTTATAACTTAATATAACTCAAGTTAATTTAACTTTTGAGTATATTATATACACGTTTTATGTTTATCTCTAATTTAACTTTTGAAAAACGATAGATTTAATAAACGTTTTTTTAAATTTTTGCCTTCTTCGAAATTTTTATTTATTTGTTTGATACGTTAATTTAATACAAATTACTAATTATTAAATCTATTTAACCGCTACGTAACTATCACGTTATCATTTATCGTTCTGATGAAATCGATACCAAACGATTTAACCTTGATTTCGATATTCGATACTGCCGAAGGTGTCGGGGTATTGTAGTATCTTATCGACCGTTTCTATGTTTACAGTATGTACCTATCCGACCCATTAGTTAAGTACCTACGTCCTATAATATTATATTATTAAATAATAAATAATAAAAAGTTTTTTTTTCAATAATGCGTACTCATATTTTGAAATGATGCTTCCGGGTCGACTGTAATTCGTGGGGACCATCATATTATAATAATATACTTTGACACGTACTTATATCGAATTCAAATCATAAATAATAATCACACCCGTGGTACGGTAACGACGGAGTTTAGTGGCAAGTGACTCCGACCCACGTTATTTTAATTCGTAATTAGGCCCTGCAGGTTTTCCCCCTTTACCCCTTTGTATCGCTTATTTAACCGATGTTTGCCCTGAGTGCAGTACGTCATATTATTGTAAAATGTGAAATAATAATATTTCAGTAGACTCTCGGTAATCTGGCAGATATCAGACCAGATAACTGTCGGATTAATGGAGTTCCCACATAAATACGCATTTTTGTTTAATGAAAACCCTTAATTTATTTTATTAAAAATAAATATAAATAATTAACACGCCAACGTTAACTGGATAAAAATAAAACATTTGATCGGTTCATTCGGAATTAATAAGTTAGTTTTATAGTTCGCGATAGTAATTTTATAGTTATTATAACGCAAAAATAGCCAGATTACTGGTCGTATGGGATTATCGCACAGCAGGATTACCAAGAGTCTACGGTATTGTTATTGTCATAGGCGTAAGGCTTCGTATAATCTGCCTTGACGACGACGATATTACATTCGGATACACGTTCCTGTACAGGGTGATTTATTTTCCAACGACAGTTATAATATTATATGCTAAATTTTCTCGATTTTACGAAGCCCTAGGTTTTTCTACCGATAAATGTTTGCATAGTAATACGTTTACTCGTGAAATCATCCCATATTACAAAATTCTATAAACTGACGGTAATTATATGGTTTTATAGATGAAATAAAATATGTGTTGGCATGTTAATGTCTGTCAATCCGTTTGACAATAGCTGATATAACACTTATTTTCCAAGTAAACTAATTTTTTTTTAACTAGTTCGAAGTCAAATTCTAGAAAAATGATTATAAAAAAAAACACCTTCATATTTGTTTTACATAAAATATTCATAGTTAACTTTTTAGA